AAATTGACTCGCCTATGAAGTTTTTCCAGAATGGTTTCCGAACGGTGCGGCGCAGCCGCGCCATTTTGTGCATAGCTGTAGAAAACTGAATAGCAGATCGCTTGGTTTCAAAAATTTAGATGTATTTTATAAGGCCACTGACCTATGGCAGGTGAAATTCAGGCCATCGTTTCAGCGAAGTCAACTTCTAGGGAATCGTTCAATCTGATCCGACATTGGAATATTAGACGAAGCCATACATCTCTGAAATGCTTTCTTAGGCAGCACAAATATTGGATGAGCAAATTACGTTGACCTTTGGTCAGGTAAAAAGGTCAGATCAAGGTCAAAACCAATTTGGATGTTGCTCTAGGGCTGGCTGAATGGGATAGCTTCTGGTGCTCATCGCGAATTCATTGATAGCAGGAACCGCATTATACATATTTCATGGACTTCTTAGAAGTCAGAATAGGTCATTTACTTAAAATGACCTAGGTCAAAATTTTGTTTTTAGAAACATACCGTCTAGCGTAATCTTTCCTGTCTATTCAAATGCAAAACTTAGAGCAGTCTCGTATGATTGGTCACCATGACCTTCAAAAATTCAAACAAGGTCACTGGCCTTAACTGATCATGCGACCATTTGCTTAAAAATAGTCGTCTAGGTTCTGGGGGTACTTAAGTGCCCAACCAGGAATTTGACATTGTTCGACCTTATTTGACCCAAAAGTCATAACCTAGGAGACTCAAACTTTGACCTAAGTGAGTTCACGTGCAGGTTAACACACTGTGAATTTGGTGTATCTAGCCCTCTTAGTTCCCGAGATCTCAGCGGGGTCAAATTGACCCCCGCCTGAGCCAAGGTTATCTAGCCGGCCACCCGGGCGCGTGTTACAAATGTACACAGAATTGATTTCACGGTAGATTTAGAAGAGATTTCTCGGCTTCATTTCAGAATTGATTTCTGGTTTCTGTTCTGTATAAAACGTAAAAATAGCGATGCAACGAAGACAACTGTATGCCTTGTCAACAAGTAAACCATATCCGGGACATTTTTTTTTGGGGGGGGGATCACCATAAAGAGGGCTATTGTTAACCATGTGTTACTTTTGCAAGGCTCTGCCTACCCGCTGCCTACACACAAAATCATTTGAAGTCATCTACGGTTAATGACGGGAAATTAAAGGTCCGTAGGGCAAACTCGTACTTAAGTAGGTTAGTCATTTGGAGGCAGCCGGACCAAGACAGTGGTCACCGACGGCGGACGGGAGTAGGGCTCAGGCAAAGAAAATATAGCAGAAAGGCCTTCATTCTGTGGCTTGGTTCTCAAAGGACAATCTCCAGTTCTATGGCTTTTGTCATATGTTTTGTTGGCAGTTGCAAACTTCCAAATTTGTTTCCGCCTAAAATGTCGCGACAAGTCTTATCTCTTGAAAAGCAGCCAGCCAAATGCGGGTGCATGCAAAATCTGTAATACTGTGGGCCATCGACTCACTTTCAAAATTCTTACCAGCCTATGCTCAGGCCATATTGTGGCACCTACCCGGCGGAGACAGATGCCTCCTCAATGACCCAAAATGCCTACCGCTCGTGGAATTTCGGCTCCCCAGGAAAGACAACGTTGAAATGTACGAATCATCTTGGAAAGCTGGATAACATTATTTCCCGGATGACATAGATGAGTCAGATAGGGTGTGCACCTGTGAAAAACAACTCTAGATACATATCTAGAATAACAGTCATTACATTTGAATAAAGAGCGGTGACCTCCATCTCTTCTTCCCCCACCCCTACCCCACCCCACCCCCCTCCTCCCTGGCCATCGGGATTGATTTTCAGAAAAGTTCCTGAAGTACGCCCTGGGCTTGGTCTCCCACTTTTTGAAACGTTCCTACGCCTATGTACACCACGTGATTGTTCGGTTCCCTATCAATGCACGCCACTCCCGAGTTCGTCCGTGCCCTGGGTGCCGACATGTGACACAAAAAGTGTAAACCCGTCGAGAAGAGCAAAGGCCATCTTGCCAGCTCGCGTGAGCGCGACGCATGACGCCCGTGACCGAAAACGTGCTTCCACCCAACAGCCAGCTCCATTGGCTTTTGACGCATGAGACTTCCGAATCGCTTCGTGCCTTTCGTGGCGAAATGGGGTGCGAAACGGACATATGGTCGTAAACAGCAAACTCCGTCTTGCCAGCTCGTGTTAGCGCAACACGTGAAACGTGCAAAATCAAAGATTATACCGCGTGGTTGCCCGCTAGACTGTCTATCGTAACATTCCGCTCTTGAGACGTTCGGTCCCCCGGGCGCGAAGATATTGTGTAAACGTGTAATCCCTCGAAGATCACAGAATCCATTTTCCAGCACGCATGCGCCATGATACATGGCACGTATGAGCTGATAATTTGCCCAGGCTACTGACATTTACACTCCTCATCAAGGCATACCACTTCCGAGTCGCTCCACGTCCTGGGTGCTGAGCACCTAGAGTTGTTTCTCACAGGTGCACACTCTTGCCTATCCGAGTCATCTATGTCATCCGGGAAATAATGCTGTCCATCTTCCCAAGATTACTCGTTCATTTCAACGTTGTCTGTCCTGGGGAGCCGAAATTCCACGAGCGGTAGGCATTTTGGGTCATTTAGGAGGCATCTGTCTCCGCCGGGTAGATGCCAAAATATAGCCTGGGCATATGCTGGTGATAATTTTAAAAGTGAGCCGATCGCCCACAGTACTACAGATTTTGTATGCGCCCTCATTTCGCTGGCTGCTTTTCAAGAGATAAAACTTGCCGCGGCATTTTAGGCGGAAACAAATTCGGAAGCTTGCAACTGCCAAAAAAAACATATGACAAAAGCCATAGAACTGAAGGTTCTCCTTTGAAAACCAAGCCACAGAATGAAGGCCTTTCTGTTATATCTTCTTTGCCTGAGCCCTACTCCCGTCCGCCGTCGGTGACCGCTGTCCTGGTCCGGCTGCCTCCAAATGACTGACCTACTTAAGTACGAGTTTGCCCAACGGATCTTTAATTTCCCGTCACTCAACGTAGATGACTTGAAATTATTTTGTGTGTAGGCAGCGGGTAGGCAGAGCCTTGCTAAAAGGAACATAGAGCTGACAAAAGCCCTCTTTATGGTGATCCCCTCACAAAAAGATATCCTCGGATACAGTTTACTTGTTGACAAAGCATACGGTTTTCTTCGTTGCCTTGTTATTTTTACGTTTTATCCAGAACAGAAAACAGAAATCAATTTTGAAATGAAACCACGAAATCCATTCTAAGTCTACCGTGAAATCAGTTCTGTGTACATTTGTAACACGCGCCCGAATGGCCAGATAGATACCCTTCGCCCGGATGGGGGTCAATTCGACCCCCCTGAGATCCCGGGAATTAAGAAGGCTAGAGACACCAAATTCACAGGGTGTTAACCTGAACGTGAACCCCCTACGTCAAAATTTGAGCCTCCTAGGTTATGACTTTTGGGTCAAATTAGGTCGAACAATGTCAAATTCCAGGCTGATTTCTTCGGTACCCCAGAACCAGGACGACCATTTTCAAGCAAAAGTAACATGCTCAGTTAAGGTCAGTGACCTTGTTTGACCTTTTGATGGTCATGATGACCAATCATACGAGACTGTTCTGAGTTTTGCATTTGAGTAAGCGAGAAAGATTACGCTAGACAGTGTGTCCCTAAAAAAATAGTTGACCTAGGTCATTTTAAGTAAATTACCTATTCTGACATCTAAGAAATCCATGAAAGACATATATTGCGGTTCCTGCTATCAATGAATTCGCGATGAGCACCAGAAACTATCCCATACAGCCGGCCCTAGAACAACATACAAACTGGTTTTGACCTTGTTTTGACCTTTGTATCTGGACTTAGGTCAACGTAATTGTTCATCCAATACTTGTGTTGCATAAAAAAACATTCCAGAGATGTATGGCTTCGTCTAACACTCCGATGTCGGATCAGATTGTTGTTCCATGTCGTCCTAAAATGTTCGTCCTAATTCATGTTCGTCCTAAAATGTTCAAGATTCAGTCAGAATTGATTACGGATAAAAAAAAACTGTGTAGTATGGATTTGAATATACGCGCTCGCAAGTCATATCATCAAAACAGCCTGAATACGCCCGGCGTTGCGGTCTCCATGAACCGCGCGGTATCGTCCTGCGGCTGACATTAAATGGAGGCCAATAAGCAAAAGAAAAAGATGACGCATCTTCAGGAGCATGCCTGGTGAACTAGGTAAATCGGCATGTATATTTAAATGTGGTGCAAAAGTAAGCTAAGCACAACCTTGATCTGAAAAGTAGAGGGCGGGTGCAGTTAACACTGCTGCTCCCTCCCCCCACCTTGAAAAGTGGGGGACCATGACCTCCCTCGCCCTCCTGTTCCTACGCCTATGGTGGTGTAGACTGTGATGTCGCACGTGCCGCGTGTCTCATGTGCGTGAGCCAGGGAGACCACTTAACCGGGGACTGTTTTTGACGTTTGTGCCATGTCGCGGCCATTAAAACAGCAAGAGACGTTAACCCACCTGCAAAAGAGAGCTAACTGAAATTTCTACGCTCTTAAAAAACGCAGTAAAGCAAGCGTGCAAACGCTCATGGTAATCTACTTTACGATAGACTAGCCCGCGTCATCGATGTTGACGCGGGCTGCACCTCCGGCGACTCAAGCGTCGATTATGATGGTGCGAGCTGCAGCTATGAAAACTCAAGCATCGTCTATGATGGCGAGGGCTGCAGCTATGACGACACAAGCACCGTCTATGATGATGCGGTGCACCTATGAAGACGCAGGCATCGCCTATGATGACGCGGTGCACCTATGACGACGCAAGCACCGTCTATGATGACGCGGTGCACCTATGAAGACGCAGGCATCGTCTATGATGACGCAGTGCACCTGTGACGACGCAAGCACCGTCTATGATGGCGCAAGTACCGCCGCGGGGCGGGTGTTGAGTTATGGCAAACAGCCATCTGGTCTGCGGTTCAGTCGCACTTGTGCAGCCATGGCCGTCGATTGAAAGGCGGAGCACCCGACGGATCAGCGATGGCAGACAGGCACTCCTCCAGCCGGAGTCGAGTCACCGCGTCGGTGCGTGACGACGGATCAGCGATGTCAGACAGGCACTCCTCCACCCGGTGTCCGGTCGCCGCGGCGGTGAGTGACGACGGAAAAGCAATGCCAGACAGGCACTCCTCCACAAAGTCCACTTTTCATTACCAACCCAGAATGGTCACCAACAATGCGATAGGTTGGTTCGTATCATTCATGATGATGACCGAGCTCACTGAATAAGACCAAACGACCTCTCACATTCGAATCGCTGAAATATGTTTCAAAGTGCTGCTCTGCCTCCACTGTTGTCGTGCAGATCGGCGCTGGTGACCTGTGAGGGTGTCAGGTGACCTCTCAGGGTGTGGTCCCGTCGGTGTAACATCGCCGGATTTCCCGTTGTCTTTCGTCCGGTGATTGGCAAGCGAGGGCCTCTCGTGCCGCACCGCGCCGCGAACAGATCTTCCGTCTCCGGGCCAGACCTCGGTTTTCCCCGGTGGTGTATACACCCATGTCTGTGCCTGCATGTTTATGGAGTCTGGTGATACCCACACTTGCGCATGAGCTTGTGTATTCAATGTGGGAATAGAAGTTCTCTGGACCGGTGAGCGACAGATAAAACTGTTGCGTTCACACTCGACCAGTGTTGCATTTACTGTGATTCAAAATTGAGAGTGATTCACTTACCTGGTGAGCGCAGCTTTCTGCGTTCAGTCCTTGCCTTAAAACAGTCAATCACGTCCTGGTTCAAAAGGGGCATAAAGTGCTGGAACTGCTTGATTGACTTAGCAGTGTTTCTCACAGCTGCTGGATGGTCAAGCAGGATTGCAATCACGACGCGGCCTTTGCGACGAATGTAACCAACATCAGTCGGCGCATAAAATCAATAACGCACGCTCAGCTTAGGTGATCAGCTCTGGTGAAAACATGGGGCAGCTGTGGTGCGATGTGATTTGATGTCATGTTTATTAGAGTGGAAAGCACGTTGTTCAGCTTTGTTCGTCCGTTAACGACAGGCCATTGCTGACAACATAAAAATGCCAACATTTTGCGGCAAACTTAGGGATTACTACTAGATTGATTTTGCTGAACAATTAGCACCTTGGTGTAAGTTACTGCGAGATGCGTTTGTGAGGAGCATTGCACATATAGATGAGACAGTCACAATAGTCTCATTCCTCGTAAAATAACAAACTACATTAAGAGATAGATGGATTGATCCACTGGATGGACTAATAATACACCTACTTCTCACTTTTCCCGGGTATTCTACCAGAAATGAAGTTTTTAGTACCTGTTTATCCATAAGAGCCCTTGTTTTATATTACGTCGTAGAGCAGAGCTAAAATGAAAACAAACATATTTGATGGGGAAATCTGACGGCGACTGTGGAGTCCTGGCGTAATGAAGTGGAGTGACGGCGACATCTGTCGCCTGCAAACGCTAACATCACACTAATGAGACCATGATTATTTTGATAGGTTACGCCATCTGACACTTTGTATACTGGAGGATTGCAGGAAGCACCGCCGCGGGGCGGGTGTTGAGTTACGGCAAACAGCCATCTGGTCTGCGGCTCAGTCGCACTTGTGCAGCCACGGCCGTCGGTTGAAAGGCGGAGTACCCGACGGACCAGCGATGTCAGACAGACATTCCTCCAGCCGGTGTCGAGTCACCGCGGCGGTGAGTGACGACGGATCAGCGATGTCAGACAGGCACTCCTCCAGCCGGTGTCGAGTCACCACAGCGGTGAGTGACGACGGATCAGCGATGTCAGACAGGCACTCGTCCAGCCGGTGTCGAGTCACCGCGACGGTGAGTGACGACGGACCAGCGATGTCAGACAGGCACTCCTCCAGCCGGTGTCGAGTCACCGCGGCGGTGAGTGACGACGGACCAGTAATGTCAGACAGACACTCCTCCAGCCGGTGTCGAGTCACCGCGGCGGTGAGTGACGATGGATCAGCGATGTCGGACAGGCACTCCTCCACAAAGCTCACTGAACTCATGCACTTTATTTCACTCGCGAAACTCCCGTTTCCTTATGAGTTCGCTCGTGCGGTGAGCTCTTTATTCAAAACTATACCTAACGCCCGCCATGCTCACTGCATTTGGTAAGCAGCGTCTCATCTCAATGAATGATGAACATGGCAAGCAGTCAGGTGATTATGCATACAGGGATTGGTCTGTTTGTGTGGTAAATAAGGCTATTGGTTGACGTCTTTAAAACAGCGAGAAGTTGTTGAAAAGCACCACTATACAGTAAGCTCCGTAAAAACCCAGATGTCAATACTAGCTGACGAAACGGGGTTAAGCAAGCATGTCTCAGGTAATTCTAACCCATCTGCTTACGGTTTGTGTGAAATGCATGTCGATCAAGATTCCTAGGAAATATCAGCATAACGCGAATCAATCGGTGGGCACTTGTTTCGATCGTGACCGGTGAGAGGGTGATGTAGTTCAGCGACGACTGAACATGCCGCCGTTCCAGGCGCTCCTGCCGCTGCTGTTGCTGTACACCCTGCCGACCAGCCAGTCGCTCCCTCTTGAGCACTTGCCTGTTGGAATGGTGTCCCGACCAAATGACGTCCATGCACAATCGATCGTGATCAGCTGTCCGGAAGGCAGCCGCAGCTGCGGAAACGGGTACTGCTGCCCGACAAGGGGACGTCCAGTAAGAAGCTGTCCATCGGGCCAAGTCTACGTTTCTGGTGTCGGCTGCCTCTCTTTGTTTGCCTAGCCCCGTTTGGTGGACGCGTAGGCGCGCGGGAGCATTGGAGGGGATGAGGCTGATGACATGGGCTGTGGTCACGTGGTAATGGGGCTCAGCCCGCCACCAGCGCCATGTGTGTGTGTCCCCAGCCGCCACCATCACCGCACCAGTCGTCACCAAGCGCTTCACCACCCCACCCCGCTCCGGCTCGAATCATCGCCCAAGCCCAGCGTAAGGCCTCACGCCAGCGGATTGGTAATGTCATGATGGTGATCAATGGAGATCTTGGTCTGTGTCGTGATCGGTTCGTGGTGTCAGGCGTCTGGTGGTACCTCCAGCTGACAGAAACCCTTGGAGCCTGCTATCCCAGTGTTTAAAGCACTCGCTTTTTGCTGTGCTGCATCGTTCACCTTGTGAAATAAACTTGTAATCTTGAGAGAAAGGGCACGCTGATCAGGCCTTTTCATCCGCTGGCCTCCGGGTACCCGTGTATTCCCATAGCGTAATGACCCTATGACATAATGATTTACATACACATTTATGCTTGGAGCCTCTAGGTGCGTACGTTCGTAACATGGGTTTGGGGTGCTGGGCTGTGGAAATGACACAGCCTACCGCCAGATCACGACAGCAAACAAGCTTCACCCCGGGCCACAGCCCACTTTCTTCTCAAGGTTGGGGGGCTGGAGCCCAAGCTGGGGTGGGGATGGGGGGCTTGAACCCCCCCCCCCCCCCACCCAGCCGAATAGGAAACTACACCCCTGGCAGCGCCTATATGTTAGTGCAAGGATCCATGGTGTCACCTCCTGATACGTTCTCCTGAATTGGCGCATTTGAAGTGTTTGTCAGTGCATTTAATAAGAATACGAGCGAGCTGCATGCGAGTCTGCAAGCTGCATGCGAGCTGCATGCGAGTCTCGTGTGACCAATCATACGAGACTGCTCTGAGTTTTGCATTTCAATAAACAAAAAAGATTACGCTAGACAGTGTGTTTCTAAACACAACACGTTGACCTAGGCTATTTTATGGCAATGGCCTATTATGACCCTTAATAAGTCCATGGAGGATGTATGATGTGGTTCCCGCTATCAATAAATTCGAAATGAGCTCCAGAAACTATCTCATACAGCCAGCCCTATAGCAATATGCAGGTTGGTTTTGACCTTGATCTGACCTTTGTGCCTGACCTTAGGTCAACGTAATTTGCTCATTGAATATTTGTTTTGCCTAAGAAAGCATCTCAGAGATGTATGGCCTCGTCTAACACTCCAATGTTGGATCAGATTGAACGATTCCCTTGAAACGGACCTCGCTGGCCTGGCCATGGCCTGACTTTGACCTGCCATAGATCAGTGACATTACAACGTACATCTAAATTGTTTATGCCAAACGATCCACTATTCAATTTTCTACAGATGTTCAAAAAAAAGGCGCAGCTGCGCCGCGCCGTTCGGAAACCATTCTGGGAAAACTTCAGGGGCGAGTCAATTTGAACTCCCACCCGAACGCGTGTGAAGATCAATAAACCGCATGAATCAAGCGTTTAACGACCGCATGGAATAAATCACCGGTGTCCTTAATTTGCAAATACCTAGTGGACTCGTTCTAAACCGATGGAATTCAGAGGCACTTTAAAATGTCTATCTACGTTCTACAGGCATTGAGGACATGGCGAAGATAGACTGCAGATCGATATGTATGATCAAAATTTGAGGATGAAAATTTTGCTTGTATATCGAGTGGTAAACAATGTGTATTAACATCGCCAAGCCATGTTTGTCTGGAAATGTTTAACATTTAGTCAGAATCTACTAGTGACGCAGTTATTTATTATTATATTATTATTTATTATTTATTATTATATATTTATTATTATATTATAGTATTTTTTATGATCAAAATTTGAGGATGAAAATTTTGCTTGTATATCGAGTGGTAAACAATGTGTATTAACATCGCCAAGCCATGTTTGTCTGGAAATGTTTAACATTTAGTCAGAATCTACTAGTGACGCAGTTCATGTAACGTAGTTACATGCGCGCTTGCAAATCTTACCTCTCTATGTGGTTAATTTTCGTCATTGGTCCTCCGGACGGACGAAAATGATAACGTTCTGAAATACTCATCTTTAAACACTTGAATCGGTGGGTAATAAAAGTTATGTAACACAATTTGAGCATGCGTACCCGCAAATCTTAGTCCAATAAACCTCGGACGCCAGGCGTTGCAGTCTCTGCAGGCCGCGCAGCTCGGCTCAACCTGTTAATACTGAGCCGCGGCCAAGGGTGACGAAAGTGATGACGTTTCTGACAGGAGTACCTTTAAACGCTTCAAGGAATCAATCTTGCATCTACAAGACGTCTGGGAGCATATTTCCGCGTACGATTTTTTAGGCTGATGATAAGAACGGATTGGCCCTTAAAACACCGTGAAGTGGTGTTGGGACCTGGTTGGTGGGAACTGGAAGAGACAAGGTAGATCCTCTATT